GCAACAAAAGTGTCAAGGACTTCAGGGCTCGGGTGTACAGGCTTGAAGGGAGGATTTGCTGGAGGCAGCTGGTTTATGCCTTTGGCACGAATTTGTGCATCGCTCGCTTAGAAAGATCATCATCCAGCAGTGCTTACGGCNNCGGAGCAGGTCCTTAGACATCTGGAATTTCTACACGTTTTCGATGTTTGTGTGTTTGAGCTCCGTCCGTCTGCTTCCATCTGTCCGTCCGGATGATCGTCTGTTCTGCCTGTCTGTCAGGTCAGGCTGCACAGATGTACCTGTGCATGCATGCGCGCATGTGTACAAATTCAGACAGATGCAAACATGCATACGAGATTTTCAGATATAAGTAGTCAAGAATCTGTGACGCTTTCTGTCTTTTCTTTCGCGTTCGTCTGGTTCAAGACTGCAAAATGATGAGGCCGGCTGGCTGTCCCCCAACTCACAAAGCCCACTAAAACCCCGTACACTATGGACCCCCCCCGGCCTCTTCATTGCTAAGGTCTCTCTATCTCTCTCTCTCTCTCGCTCTCTCCATATGCAACAAAGCATGTGCAACTGCAGTATGGCAAGTCCTTTTTGCAGAATCTGCCTCACCACGGGGTGCCCTCCAAGCTTGGAGAAGGATTCGCTGAAGGGAGTGTCAGAGTGCCAGAGCCCTTACAACTTAGGTTTGTTGTTCGCGTCCAAGCTGCCGACAGCGGGTCGACGAACTTCGTCTCTGCCCTCTCATCAGTCCGTCCTTGCATCAAGGGTGGCCTGCACTTCTTGAAACGCGGTGGTAATGACGGTGATGGTCATGGCTCTATAATTACGAAGACTGAAGGATCCCGCGCGTTGTTCCGGGACCATAAAGAAAATGAAGCCTTCGTGTGCCCGCAAACATCATATTCACCACTCTCAGCATCAGAAGCATGCTGATAGTATCTGATGACACAATGAGGACGATTCTGATGATGATCTGCATTGTGAAGTGCCCCATCACTGTCGACACAGGCCATATCCTGTCCTCACGCCTCGGGAGCGTCGTCGTCTTCATCAACACCATAAGCACCATCCTCATGATCGCCATCATCACCATCATCATCATCATACCCTCTAACCTCAGATTTATCATGCTCATCCTGTTCCTCTCGTCATCCGTGTCGTCTTCTTTAGCACCGTCATCATCCACATTAACAACATTGTCATCATCAACTTTATCTTGATCGCCGTCATGAGTATCATCATTACTGCCACGAACATCAGCCTCGAACTACCATGGACATGAGGACTTCTTTGCTGACTCTTCATACTTTCAACTGTGCTGTGGTTGAACAGACGCAGTACAAAAATACCGAACAGCGAGGCGCGCTGATAGACGTGCCCCGGTAACAAATCAAACGAAGACTGACCATCATTCCGTCGACAGCATCATCATCATCATTATCATGCCGTCTTTGTGAAGGGGGTCTAGACGAGGTTGTGGAGCCAAGGGCTCGTAGCGTACAACGGAGGTTCGCTACAGCCATGAGACAAGACATAACCTCCATCTCATGGAGCACTGCGGCGAGTGCGCGGCCCGACCAACATCTCCAACCCTCCTTGCTCCCTCCTCCTTCATCTCCTTCTCCCTTTCCAGCTGGCTTGTCGTGGGGGCTGGGCTGCATGGGAGTGCAGGATAGCTGAGGATAACAGTGTGGACCCAGGATTTGATTCTTCGTTTCAGTCAGGGCCCTTGGCGCATTGTATACGAACGAGATTGAGCTGAGAGCTCTTGCTAGGAATGTGCACCACCCAAGGTTTTGCTGCAGTCCGAAGATAACCATCATCTATGTCAACTCCGCCCACGAAAACAAGCGAAACCACGCACCAAGGTTCCCAAATCTGCGAAGGAAGGGAGCTCTGCGGCGTCCTCAATGGGTGCTTGACCGCAAGTTCTGAAGGCAGCTGAAAAGCACCGCGCACACACACACACACACACGCGTCAAGCGTCAAGGAAGTGATGCAAGCTCCGATAGGATGCGCTGTGGTTGCTACAGTGGTCTCCTTGCTGTTCTTGGTCGTAGCATGTCATGTTGTAACAGGGTTGAAAGGGTGGGAAGGATCTGATAGAACTGTAACAAATTAAGATGGAACAGAACGTACAGCAGCACAGGATGGCGAAGCACATTCTGAAAAAATAGGCAGACTGACAATGCACCTTCGTAGGAAAGGTGCTTAGTAGCCGATAAGACATTGCTGATCAATTATATGATTGCAAAACTGTTGAGATCTGCGGCGGACACGGGGACGAAAGCTGCTCAATGGCAGCTTCTCTCTACCCCTCAAAACCAAACTCTCCTCGTCGGCTGTTCGCCTTGAGGTCGAACTCCTGTTGTTCGCGGCTTGCACGGTTGGATCGGGTTGACAACAGTGCGGCGCGGGGGTTGTCGTCTGAGGGTGCTTCTTGTATGTGCACCGCATATCCAAGCATCTGCACCTGCACCTCTCTCCACATCTACATCCACACATGATGTGTAACTGCGTGTGTTGAGCGTTCGAACTTGGTCATCTGCCTTCGCATATACGTTGTAGATGCAGAAAAAACGAGACAGGATCACAGATGGACAAGTGGATACTGTATGAACATGGTACTTAGATTGTAGGCACGTACAGACTGCATGTCGCCGCACTGTAGACGAGCAAGCGGACTCAGCCGGGTTACCTCTGAGAAAAACTCTGTGATACCATGATCTGTCTGACTGTTGTGAACGAGACTGCACAGGCACCCCTGCTCGGCTTATGAAGCATGGACAAGGTCGAAGCAGCGCGTGGCAGCGGCTGCTGTGGAAAATCATTCGAGACCCATTCCCCCCGCCATCATTCAAATCAATGCTACTGTATACTGTAACACATGTGCCTCAGCACGCTGGAATCACCAGATCGGACACTTCATGAAATTGCACTGCGGCACATTCCCTGCTCTGAGTCAGACATGAGCCTAGCAGCTCGCTTGCTTCCTTGCTGAAGCCCTTGAGCTGGCTTGATGCCTGACATGCTGCGAAACTACTCAGCAATCTCAATACATGGAAAAATGTCTTGTACAATCGTATGATGCGCAACCGGTGAAAGCACAAGCGGACATAGATCATCGTGCTATATCGTGCTTCTCCTTGCCGTCTCCACACGTGAAATGCCCGTCCAAGACCAGCACAAAAGCCCAAGCCTGCGCCTGCGAATGCTGCTGTAGATGCAGATGCAAAGAGGCGACTGACGGGCTTAGCACCGCGGGACCAGAGGTTGGGCTCGCGAAAGGTGCAGACGGCATCTGCCGTGGCATTTCCTTCACCCACAAAGAAATGGACCACAAGAGGAAGCGATGAGGGCGCAGTCACTTTCAGCCAAGCGTCGTTTTGTGGAATGAGCTTCTTCTGGCGTGGAGGCTGATTGGTGCGAGAGACAAACCCTTCGGACGGTTTCACTGCGTCCACTCCACTCTTTCTCGTTGCTTCGAGGTGCTCTGCTGCAAACCTCAAGCACGAGACGTTAACTGCAGAAGCACTGCTGATGGGTTGGTTATGCAGGCATGATCAGGCACGCAGGGCTTGCTGACTCCACTGTCCAGTAGTACTGACAAACCCGACAGGACACAGTTAGACAATCCTTGTCAAGGCCCCAGAATCCTAGAACTAGAACGCCGAATAGTGATCGTGGCTTTGCCGGAAAGGCTCGGCATGCGATCATAGCCGGCCGGAGGTGGCGCAAACACAGTCTGTTCTGCTGCCATTAGCTGCTCCAAAGCCGCCATCTGCCTAAGCTGCACTTGACATCACTGTCGGCTGCCAGTTGCAGTCTCTGAACTCCAGGAGAACGGCGTGCCACTGCTGCACTAGGACATTTGCCTAAGAACACGGAACAAAGCACTGTAGCACTCGCAGGAGGCGAGCAATCAAAACTGCCCTGCAAAGGTGGCTCGCTCAAAACACGGCTGATTTAGAGGACCCCTCGACAAAGGAGCAAACAAACCTCGCAATTTTCGAGCTTCAAAACACTCTCAGTGCCACTGCGCGAGTTGCGCGTCCAACTTGTCGGCCGTTGGGTTGGATTTCGGCTTCGCTTTCGGCTTCAAGGGCACGAGGTTGATGTTGTTGTCCGCCTGGCGTCTCCCAGGCTTCTGCTCAGGGCCGTCGACTACTCCCCCTTTTTCTGTGTACCATTACTTGTACCATTCAGTCGACTGACCTTATTCACTGATTCTTCGGGTCAAAGCTTCTGCGGAGATGCCTCTGGAGATGCCTGCGGAGCTGTCTTCTCCACGAAGTGGCTAAAGGCTCTTGCGTGGCGAGAGGCCTGCCAACACGCTGCACTGACACTGCACATCACTGCAAACTGCACAGTGTCCGCATACCGAAGCATCCCAAACGAATGCCATGTCACCGAAGCGGCTCCAACAAGAGCCCGAAGATCCACGAACCTTCCCCTGCGTTCGACAACCGGATACAGACGGAGTGACGGAAAGCGGCTCGAAGGCCTACGAAGCCGGCCAGTCAATCTTCCAAGGTTCGAGCAAACCACACCGCGAAATCTGCGCAAGAATCAGCGGGCTCATGCAATGAATGTGCTAGATTCCCAGCAAGAAACCAATATCGGCTCTTTCCAAAACGCGACTGTCCACCATGGCAATGGTAGTGAGAATCCCTGGTTCCTCCCTGAACTTTTGCCTCGGCGCTGTAAGGCGCGGCCCTTGGACCTCTTGCAGGTTCGGGCGTTCTTGGAGCGGCCATAGTTTGCGGCCTCACATGCAGATCCGGATCGTGCACGTGAAGCCTCGCTCTTGCCGTGAACTCCCCGAATGAGGCAAGGAGCATCTGCCGCTCCCGGGCTCTGCGTTCTTCCTCCTGCTTTTCTCGAAGCAGCCGCTCCTCAAGGTTGAACGGTTGAACAGAAACATCCCGTGTGTAGACTCTATGGACCAGATGCGGCCCTTGGAAGGTGGACACAGTGCGGACCTGACATGACTGCATCCCTCGAGAAATTGGAAGGCAACAGGGTTTAGCCCAGGCTCTTGCTCGACCGCTTGTTGTTCCTCCTCTTGCCTGCAGGAGCAGCCAATGTCGCCCCTCAGCCCCACGCGTTTCTGATTCTGTAGCCTGCCCTTAGCAAGCCTTGCCCCGGTGTCCCCCGTCAGAAATCTTCGGCAGTTATTTTTAGGCAGGGAATCCGACGTTTTTGGAGCATTCAGGATCGACGTCAGCAACGAATGGACTTCTGAGATCCCACCTGCTGGAACGAGTGGCATACTTCTTCACTTTGGACCGCATGGCTGCTTCCTCAGTAGGGACCACCTGAACTCAAAACATCTCAAAATCATGCCTTTGGCCGTGCAGTTTTAGAGGACGCTAAACGAAGCCTATGAACGCCGCTCTCTGCCGGCGCCTCCTGGGCGCTCTGAAGGCGCTCTCGCGGAGATTCTGGTCCCGGGAGTCCCGGGCCCTGGCGACATCCGGAATTCAGGACTTTTCTGATTTCTGCGCAGTGCAAGGCGGTGCAAGGCAGTGCTGTGCCTGCGTGCCAGCGCCTCCGCAAATGCTGCAGCTCTCGCTGTCTATTCCAGCACACATCCAGCAGAGGTCCATCACTGCGGCTTCAGAGCAACATCAGTTGAGGGACATGTTCGACGATGCATGGTGAAGCATGGAGAAACCTCCTGGCAAGACTAAGACAGGTCTGACGGAGCGCTTTGTGGGACTCGCTGGCGTTTGGGGCACACCTTTTGCTCAGTCACTGCTTGAAAGAGTTTAATCAAATCTGGACTCCATGACCTTAGCCCCTGCGGGTGTATCTAACCACAACTGGTGACATTAAAGCAACGAGCATTAGCCAAGCTTTCGAAGCAGACGATGAAACTGCCGCTGGTGATGCACAAAGAGAGGCTGCTGGAGGAATTGGACGACAGCTCCCCAGCTGTGAACTAGTGAGTGCACTGCGGCACTACGACCACTGAACTCACATCATCACGAGCAGAAGAGGATGCAGCCAAACGCTGTTTCGCCTGTGACCAGACCGAATCGTCAAGCGGTCTTACGCACAACTTCCCCAATGCCAATGCTCAAGCACGGAGGGTGGCGCGTGGATGCCTGCATATGCCTGCAAACTCAGGGACCCCTGCACCTGTTGTCCAAGCTTTCGAGAGAACACCGCGAGCCGCAGCAATAACGGCTCCGATCTTAGCTGGCCCGAACCTTCTGAAATGGGGACGGATTCCTAAGAGGAGCGGGTGAGTGCGCTCGAATGCAATGTGGCTACAGCTGGGTCCCTTCCAGTTCTGGCTTGTCTTTGACCAAGCAGGCAAACAGCTACTGCCCCAGCTGAAAAACTTGGATGATCGCCTGTAGCGTTCGTACCGATGAGTGATACGCGCACAATGCATTTTTTTGTGGGCGATTCAGGCGTATCAGCCACCAGCCCAGCCGGGTCGGTCACTGGCTCGCCGCCGAGGCCGACCACTGTGAGCCACCAAGTTCGAGGGACAACCTCCAGCCAAGCTCATGCCCTTGCTGCAGTCTCTCTGATCCCAGAGCCTGCCTACTAATAACTTTGTTTTGCACAATACCATGAGAGTAGCTTCTCAACAAGGGTTGTATAATGCAACACATACAGATATGCCCTTCAAGCCAAGGTCAGGGAGTAACAAAACCCCGAGCACTCTTTCGTTCCATGCAACACAACTGTGCCCGTTGGACGAAACGGAAGCAAACCGAAACCAAACATTCCCAAAACCATGTTGAAATTCTCCAGTATCGAAGTTCAGGAGATGTCCTCCGTGAAGGCCGATGTCAATGATGTAGAGAAACCACTGTAGAAAAAACAGGAAATCCCAGCACCCGCAAACGAGTGTAACAAGAAGCACTGCATCGGTCGGCCTCGTAGACTAACTCTTGGCCTCCTGAAGACGCCGGAAGAAGAACGGCTTTTGCATTCTGCTCTTGTTGCGAGATTCCGCAACCGCTGCTAGCTGTATTGATAGCGTCACTATTACCACCTGTTGCCATTCCTGCTGCTATCTGTTTTGCTACTCCCACTACCTTGCCACCTCTGGCATTCTTTTTACCAGTACCACCACCGCCATCATCATGACCACTGTAACGACCACGACTAATGCTCCTCTCCGCTATGTTAACTACGCAGTCCCCTCTTGCACAGCAGTGGCTGCTCATCCAGCTCCCTCTTATTCACTATCCTGCAACTACTACTAAATACCACTCTCGCACTTCTGCAACCACCATCACGACCAACAACACGCGACTGCGCCTACTGCTTTTGACACTTGACGCCTTGGCTCGTGACGAACCCCGTTACATGGCAAGATCTTTGTTCAGCACGGAGCTGCTCTGACCGCTATCCTGGCCTGGAGCTCTTTCAAGATCTGCTGGGCGGTCTTCGGCAGCTTCTTCTCTGTGGAACCCACGCCGACTTCAGCCTAAGACTTGTTGGCTGCGAAAATGCGCTGTGCTGCGGGTTTGTCGACAAAGGCAGTCAAGCGGTAGCACTTTCTGCTTACTCGTCACGTCAAGAAGGGAATGCGACGGCGTGATGAGTGTGAAGCTTGGGACACATTACCTGAGACTAGCTGATAGAATGAAAATATAGGTGATCTGGCAGCGTCGCAACTTGAGCGCCACTCTTGGGTTTCCCTGCCTGACGTTGTGAATCCTCGAACTCCTGTCCACCGGGATGAGACTTCAGCGAGTACGACTGCATGGGGCATACAAGACACTTCGGGTCAGTCTCCGGTAGACTCCGGTAGACAAGAATAAGAGGCACGTCCCTCCGAGAAAGATCTGCTGGCCAAGAAATCTACGTAACTCAACTGATAACACAATCACACTCTGTGCTCAAGCCTCCTTCACCATATGAACGTAGTGATATTTGCCCTGTGATGGAGAGCTCTTGCCGGCCTCCTTCGTCATCTTCCAGAGTGGCTCGACACACTCCGCATCTGAGGATTGGGTTGGAAGACTACTATGGACTAAGGGGAGTTCTCCGCCAGGAACATTTCTTCAACCAGCACAGTCCAGCTATAACTATAACCCGGCGAAGCCACAGGCCTCAGGCGTCTTGGGGTTTACACTAGGTGCCCTCCATCTAATTTTGCAGCCCTGCCCAGTGACACCCGTTTTTGGCGTCAATTCCCCCCACCCTTCCGCCTCCCCGCCTTTCCTTCCGGAATTCCCGCATTCCCTCCCCTTCTTCCCCTTCTTGGCTTGTACAACTTTGCAGCATTCGGTGCGATTGTAGATGTTACTGCTGGCCACAGCATAACTTACTATCTCACCGACCGCGGTTTCTCTCCACCTAATCTTGCTTCCTACACCCTTCCCCCTGCTCCCGCAGGCAGCGCAGCGTTAAACCAACCTAAAGACGTGCTGCTGTAAACTAACGCGTGCACGCGCACACACACGCACGGACGCACGCCATACGCACGCGCACGCGCACGCGCACGC